TCCCTGCCCCCCATTTCCTAAAGTTTAACCACTAAAGGCATGTGTATGCAAAATCTGAGACCAATTGGTTGTCGTATGTAATAGTTATGCACTTTTTACTTTCAAAAACAGCATCTCAGAAAACAATTCGTGGGGGGGGGGGCGCCTTTTTAGACAGCGAAATTTTATGATCGTCTGCCACACCTTCAAGGTATAGGCTACCTACTGCAAAAAATTCCAGGACTTTAGGACCATTCCCCTAGAAGTAGTTCAAAACGCAACCAATAGCACACATTTTTTTTAATTCTTAAAAAATGCGCTAAAAACCTTAATTAGTTGAATAATGTCCGAGGAGCCTCGCTCTACTTGTAATCTGCATCTATACCAGGTACGGTACTTAATTGGCCAACCGGTTCATAAGAAAGTGGTGGTCTTCAACACTCGCGTTTCAAACCCGATCATAACATAACCGAGATGGTTAAGATAAATAATGAGGTGCTGACGACAATTAGCGTGAATGTAATCACATATAACTCTGAGGGGGCAAAATCGTTATTAACTAAGAGTTACAGAAGTTGTTCCTTTGTTGAGAATTGAATCTTGATATTAAATCTCCTTCATGATATTATTATTATTACTTAAAACAAAAATTACACCGGAACTAAAACTCGAACCCTAAAAGAAATCAAAGATAACCCTTATTCTTGGTAACCTCAACCCTCTCTACATTATAGATGAAGCAGTCGATGGAAAATTTTAGTATACAAATTACAGCCAAACCTATAGAATGGTAAAGAATGCAATTCAAGTCCTCACTATAAGAGTTATTTAAGTGAAATGCGTCCAACAATATTTCGAAATCCCAAATTTATGAATCCAATCGCCAGAGGTTAATAAATATGGGATGATGGCAATTAAAATTCCATGCCTTCTAACTTAAGCTTCAGCTGTTTGTTTAAACGAAGTGTAACTGAAAGAAAGTGAAAATCGACACGCACTGCGCGGTAAAATTGCGTTGTGAAATTCCAACAATAGATGGAGCCATCTATTTTAAAAGTGAGAGTTTGGTCCCAAGGGGTCTGGGGCAGGTAAAAAGAGATTTGATGATTCTCTTTCGAATTTTAACTGTAATAATAGTTTTCAAAAGAAGGTAATCAATTTCTTCCGTGTGCTAGAGAGTATTCCATACCTCGAGCCCCCCCCCCCCCCCCCCCCCCCCCCCACGGCAACGAGGCGACATAGGCCATTAGAAAACAAAAAGACCATTGATAACCACGGCGTAAAAATTATACATATTTCAATGGCTACAATGATCCAAATAAATTCGGTACGTTATAATGAACAATATTTGTTTGGGAAAATACTTCAAAACCTTGACATTGTTATACAGATTAAAACTTCTACTTTACATATTTTTAAATCCAAATTTAATGCTCCCGTTGCACTTTTTTATTGTACTAAACTGTCGAGGCACTTTCCAGAACGACTAGGATCAGAACTCCAATCCTCCATTTTTTCTTATTGTAAGTCATCAGTTAGCACTTTCTTAGAGAAACTTTCACTTTTGAAAGGCTGCCGGTTGATTTGATTCCCGGAGAAACTGAGAAACAAGGCGGCCACAAAATGCCCTTTTTGAAATGTCGAGGGTCAATTCGAGAGCATACTTGGGGCCATTGTTTGATAAGATTTTCTGATTGTAGTTTCGGATAGCCCCTCGAGAATTTTGAAAGTATCATTTCTGCACCATGATCGTCGGTGAGAACGTTTGACTGGCGACTTATAATTAGAAAACCACGAAGGATGATTGCTTTTCGGGTTAAAAACACAAAAACATTTTTTGTGGAGGATAGGTGTATCGATTAGAGTTCTGAACAGCCCCTAAATAGTTTTAAAACTTTCCACATAAACCGAGGGAAATATGGAAAACAGTTTTTTGCAAACGGTTATATCGAAATGAGGTTTTCGGTATAGAAAGATACGAAGAAAAATGTTGTGCAATACTGGTACTGGCTTTAATTAATTTTTCTGCTTCCGGTTATCGTAAAATTTAAGAATAGTGTTAAAACTCATGTTAATTAAGCGTGCTTCATTTGACACCAAAACCCACATGCAACGGATGATGTATACTACAACACATTTAATTAACTACACTTAATTGGCCGAGTTGATATTTCTAAATTCGATAATCTAATCTTAACACCTATTTCATGGAAGTTCGTGTCAATCGCTTTAACATTGGGAAACTAAAAACAGTTAAATAGTATTTTACATTATTAGCCAGGTAAGTGAGTTTTTACTGGCGATAGGAGAAGTTGACTGGCGAGCCGTTAGACGAGCCTGTCATCTCCTAGAGCCAGTAAAAACTATTACCTGGCGTATAATGTACAATATTTTATTTGTTACTCATTTGTAAACGTAAATAATTAGTTCTTATTGATCTTGAAGAAATGTCTAAAATATCATGTGATCCATGTAACAGAGACTTCGCATTAATTCTGGCCAATGAAATTACTAGATTACTAACTTGTAAAATTTTTACAAGTCTGCTGTCAGTTTTACAAGTCAGTAGCGTTTAAACATGACGTTTACCCGTTTGCGTTTTGTCTTGTTAATCAACGTTTACAACTGAGTAACAAATAAAATAATTAACGAAGCTGAAAGCTTACAATATTAATTTTTTCTCCTTTCCCAATCGAAGGGATGCTGCAAAAGTAATTTAAATATCACCACGGAAACAGTTACAAACGACAAATTAGATACAGCATCTGGGTTACCTAGGCGTCTAAAACGCAACGCTAACAATCAAAGCATTACTTTTACCTTCTCTTGGCAAAGAACTACATACGTCCAGAAGCTACAGTTTTTCGTAACGAAGTGTCCCAAATTTATATCATGTCTCGACACCTCCTTCAAGCTGGTAGATCGCACAGCGGAAAATGAGTGATTCGTTACAGTGTCCGTAATCAATCCTCACAATTAAATGGTTACTAAGAGAATTTTTAGTATTTCAAATGCCAAAGTAAATATTCACAATATTTTATGTTTTGGATAGTTTCGTATATCCCCTCAATTTAAAATAACGAGAATCATTCCAAAAAATTAACTACACAAATTTTCATTAACATCTGGAAATAATCTTGGGCGCCAATAGAAAAAATCATGACATGAACACATTCTCTGTACCGAACAAAGGATTCGAATAAACACACAATTAATTGAGTGGCAATTACAGAAATTTATTCCGAAACATAATAAAACAAAATCCCTGAAAAAAAAGAAAAGCTTAAAAAGCTTGTTTGAACATAATGTCCCGCACGCAGGCGGTCGATAATTAAAATAATAACGTGCGTTAATTAAATTTTTCCCGATCACAAAACTTCTTATCGCAAACGGTCTGATATTCCTACATTTTAACATGCAATTTCACGTTTTACAATTAAATATACAAATCTAATTTTTATAAAAGCGATAAATGAGATAGAAGTTATAAAATTGTACGAATTAAAAACGGACTCGTTGAATTTTATTTCTTCCTTTTAGCAATCGTTTTCGAGGTAATACCCCATCTTCAGGTTTAGCTAAAATTACATACAAATACACATGTTAAGTGAATTTCAAAATTCATCATAGTTATCAATTCACTCTTAACATGTGTGTATGTAATTTCAGCTAATCTTGAAGATGGGATATTACCCCGAAATCGATCGCTAAAAGGAAAAAAAAATTAATGAGTCCGTATTTAATTCGTATAATTTTATAACTTCTACCCTCGCTTCTACCCCTGCTTCTACCTCATTCACTCCACGGACGATGAAATGGCACGTTTATAAAAGCGATAAACTTTAAGCAGGAAAATAATACCCAATTATAAACAATTCTAAAAAGAGAAATAACAGTGAGATACAAATTCAAATGAAACGAACCAACTTTGTGATTAATGCTTAAATAATACACTAGATTTACACTTAATCAATTGAAACGTTCTCATATTCAGAGAATCTCGTCTTTATTTTTGGTATTTAGACCGGAATAACGTCTATATGACGTTGTTTACAAAACAATATACAACTATTATTTTTGTACATAAATAAAATAACAGTACCTCATATAGAAAAATTCCTTCTGCAGGTAACAATGTTAATAAACTCTACCGGCTCTTTTTACATCGACAATGTGTCGGGAAATCCTTCCGGTGAAACAAATACTCTCTGCCCGTATTTTTTTTGAACGGATAATCCTTCTGTTTATCGGTCAACACATTTTATAATGTTTTTTGTTACCGGTTTGCCAAATGAGAGCAATTATAACCATTTTATGATTACGAATTACAATTATTCATCTCCCTCTTGTGATATTGTTGCATACGAGCCAGAGTAACTTGGCACTGAACGTAAACAATAGTCCCTTTGTAGCGGAGAAAAACATGACACTGGCGCACTTAATTGATTTGTCCTTCACTGGATGTGGTAATAATTTTTCTCGAGGGTAATTCGCCCACTCAACTACTCAAGTATTTTATCATCCGTTCTTTACACAATATACCTTGTCTATACCATAAACAAAAAATTGACACGTTCCAATTGATTCACTTTGGAATTTTAGATCATATAACTGTAAGCGCACAAAACTCGCGTTTCAAGAAACCCGCAATCATAACTTGGTTTTCTGGTGACATAAAACTTTCACTTTGGCACTGGTTTCCAGGCTTTAAAAGACCCAGTTCACAAGTACACTCGCCACTTGGTCCTTCCGAAATCAGTAGAATTCAGGTCAGTATTTAGTGTAATGATTACAATGTACGAGATAAAGTTTTTCTAAACAATACGTCAAAAAGCTCTGAGACCTATTACTCAACTGTTTATTTCAGATTGTATACAAAAACATTATAATTAAATCACTATTTCTGCGTACTCGTAAACATGTGCGTTAACCAAAATTTTTCAGTTCGCACAATAGCCCCTCATTTCCAACAGCGAGCAGGATTTATGGCAACATTCGTCCACGACACCCTTTTTATCACCCTTGCGTTTTTGATACTGGAAATTTATTAATGACTTGGCTCTCTCTTTCGACCGGAAAGGAAACGCCATTAGAGAGTCGTCGAAGTACCCCAAGGAATCGGTATCGTCGTAGTCGTCGTTGTTCTCAATTTTATTCGCTGAAAAACGAACGATTACTATTCCTGTTTAGGAACAACACGGGACGACTTACAAAACATCGTCCTCTTCCCTTTGTGGTTATACAGTCCTCCGCATACAAGAGACAACATATCGGCTAAGTGGTCGCCGCAAAATTTTCCGGCCATGTGTTGCATTTCCCGTTCGGTGAAGATGGCGCCCAAACTTAAATTAGTGAAAGTTGTCCATAAGACGAGATACGCAATATAGTGACCCATCTGAAACGTTTTGCTGCAATTTGTTGTAAAGTAATTTGTAACTTACCATATAGTTCTTGTACAGCCGTTGATGGGTGATGTGAGTGTAGCAGAAAATTTCATCCCTTATATACCACTCGAAGGTGTTGTTAACATGTTGGATAGTGTGAAAACATCCATTCTAATGCTGAACCTGTCATAATAATTTAATCGTTACTCCCATTGCTTATGAATTATTAATTAGGGTTAGTAACTGAAATAGAATTTAACATTTACGGGTCGGTAATTTTCATAATAATTAGGTACAGAGAAGATTGCTTTATGAATAAAAATGTATGTGAGATAGACGCTTGTAAAAAATCACGACCGATCGACGGAAAAATGTGATCATTCCAATTTTTGTAGCGTGATGCCTGCCTGCAAGTACAAAAAGAGGGCGTTTGTTTAATGACTTACATTGAACATTATTATAATTATATATTGCTATTTGCAATGGCAAACGGTAACTTGAATCTCAATTTAAATAACACTCTCTAGCTTTCTTCTACACAACTTTCTAATTAAACAAGACAAGGTGTCTTTTCCAATCCGCTCAAATACGGCAATACACCAAAACAGACGGCTACGTTTCAAACGTCCACCACCAAAAGAGGACCCGATTCATGTCCGGTTCGCTTATTTAAAACAATTTTTTCCCTTTCTTTTCAACTTCCGCCTCCACTTCCTTTCCTTAACAGATTAATGCGTCGTCGAATATCTACCATCTGTGTTTCCGTTGGCGAAAAAACATCTGCGATAAACGTGCGTATCTTGAAACTAATTAGTCTCGACAGCGAACACCTCTTATCGCAATTACCGGAGAACAACATGAGATAAACTTAATGTTTTAACACGTAATTTCTTTATAATTAAATAAACAAAATACAAGTGATTATTTAAACTATTACACATCATTAAATAATCACATTGGCTTCAAATTCAAATACCATGATCAAAATTGTGCTCATTCTAAATTAGCCAACATATTGTAAGTGCTGAAGCCAAACAAAACGTCCGCTTGACGTAGTTTACACTCTTAGGGGAGGATAGTAAAATGGAGAAGATAAGGATGGCATCGGGAAGATTCGAGAAAAGGGATGAAAGAGAAAGTTAACTAGTAAAAGTATCTTACACCAAGGAATGTGGAAAGAACAAAGAAAAAAAGACAACGAAAGAAATCGATACGACAGGCTGAGGTCGAAAGGAGAATAAAAATAAGAAAAAGGATTAGAGATGAGCTGACAGAAAGGGCCATTGATGCACAAGTACAGAAACAGAGGGTGAAGATAGCGAACAGGAGATATGGCGGCATCTTTATTTTATTTAAATCATGTAGAACGCCACTATAAAGAAAATGTTATATTCGTCGTTTTACTGACGACTCCCGAACGGCGACCACCCTTTGGACTTCGAACGGTGGTTGTAGTTTTAATGTCATCATTGGGCCGACCTTTAAGTTGTTAATATACGCATGCGCTGGCACTATCTTAACCGATTGTAGTGTAGACCAATCAGTCTTGTAGCAGTCATGGCGAGTGTACTACCAAAACGTGGAGTGGTATGCAGAATGTGTGTGATTCTTGCGCAATGACGTTTTCCTGTATGGGGAATGCAACCAGTGTCGGAGTGGCTGGGCGGGATACCTGGAAATTTCCCGGTGGGCCCCTCCGATTCGTCTTGGGTGGGCCCCGGGCCGGGACGGGCTCCTCCACATAAACAGAAGATAATGTGGAACATATATATAAAAATTTTAAAAGACAAGTTTCTGTAAACCCGATACTGTTTTTTAAAAGAAATTTTTATCAGGACCACGAAATCATATCATTCTGACAAAATTCTAATCTAATTTGTAAGAGGTGTCCCCTAATAAATTTATAAGTTTCTGTGACCCTGATACAATTTTTTAAAGGAATTGTTATAATGGAAGCGAAAGCCTGGTTCTGTTCGATTCTGATAAAAATTTTAAAAGAGAAACTTGGGACAGAAAGACATGATTTGTGAGGGGTGTCCTATTAATTTCTCAAGTTTCTGTGATCCTGGTACAATTTTTTAAAGGAATTTTTAT